AATGTATCCTTAACTATTGTGGTTAGTTCTAAGCACGTTTTGTTTGACATGATGTTCCACACTAGTCAAGGGTGTCTTGTTAATGATTCAATTTCAAGTTACATAAACTTACCAGATTTGATTTGCAGGAGATTATGGGTAGGATGGAATTGATGAATACATCGAAGTGTATAAATGTGTTGACTAACTTCTGCCAATTGTGGCAAGGGAAAAAACTATCAAAGCTCACTCGAAATTGGTTGGATCTTCTTCCACAGTTGACTTTGAATTTCTCCTCAACAGAATATGTTCTCTTCTAAATCTTTCTTCATGACCTTTATCACCTTTATTATTTCCCAGGCTGTTTCTACCGCTGTGGTATGCACAGAACTTCACTGTTGGTATCTGTAGCTCACATCCTTTCCTTTTAGCATAGTTTCACAATGATCACTGCCTGCTTCAACTCCCTCAATGGATGTGTTATCATCCCAACCATGTCCAATAACTGCACAAACCTCATAGGAGGCCTAAGCTTCTTGAACAAGGAGATTTCCGAGGTCCAAATTCCTGACGGTTCCGTCTGCTCCTTCTATGGGTAAATGACACTTTCCATTGCTCAAATATCAATCAGTCAATCACAGGAATTTCGGATGCCTCAAAAGTCAAGATGCGCACAACGTTGTATTTACTGGCGGAAATTGGGACATGTCCTGTATCCCAGGAATCGCTGGAACACAGAATTTTGATGGATTTACTTGCTCATTTACTTGATATTCTGTTTAAATCATTCTTTTTGATTATTTTGTTGGTACATCAATAATTAAGTGAGATTCCACTTCTAGTTTCATCTTTCTGTATGCATAATGCCAGACTGAACTTAGTAGTACTTGAATGAAAAGCATTGAAAAACAACAGTGCTACAGAGAAATGATTTATTCTGGACAATGAGAACAGATTCTGAATGAAGGAGAAAGCCGTTCTTTTGTGCATATTAGCTGCATATCCGAAAACGCTGTACTAGTTACTCAATGTACCAACTGAGGATAGAATCAAACAGGAGGGCAAGTGAAAGAGCTCGTCATGTCATTGAAGTTTTGTGTCGAAGCAATTCCTGGAACGGAACCCATACTCCAGTCTCCACCAGTAAGAACAACAACGTTATGCGCATTCTGACTTCCAAGGCATCCGAATTCCCTAAGATTTACTTGTTAGTATCCGACCGACGGCTTGGAATGGACTTTATTTACTCATAGAAAGAGCATACAAATCCGGCAGGGACCACAACGTTGGAGATCTCCTTGTTCAAGAAGCTGAGGCCTCCAGTGAGGTCCTTGCAGTCATCGGAAACTACGGGGATCGTAACACATCCGTTAGGCGGGTTGAGGGATCCAGAGTAGGCAGTAATTGTCGCTGGGGCGAGCTAAAGGGCGCGTTGAATGAGTAAATAACTTCAATATCGATTCAAGGACAGTTATATGCATACCGCAGCTGCAGAGACAGTCTGAGCACCGAATAAGGCAACAAAGGCAATAAAGAAAGCTTTGGTAGAGAACATGTTAGGCTATGAAGAATTCCGAGTGCAAGACTGAGGAAACATGAGTGCGATGACAAGTTGAAGACAACTGCTGAAGAAAATGAAGCCAACTTGGAGAACTTTTATGGCTTATCCCTGCATAAACATTGGATAAGTATTCCTCCCGATAAATTCTCAGAGTGCTTCGAGCGTTCAGACAATATTTCGACTAGGCTGTTAATGGCAATGATGGAGTAAGCTTGGGTGTGAACGGGAAATGAGTCTTACAGTTGTAAATGACTGACTATTCACCACTCGCAGTACTACCTGAAAATCCACAAGAGTTAAAAGCAATCCATCCGTCTGTCGTGCCAAATTTCTAATGATGATGGTAAGTACTTGAGAATGGGAACATCAAGATTTTATTCAGTGACTCATTTACTGTGATCAAATACTGCGAGTGATTGAGTGCAGGGAATTCGTCGATGACGGAAGCAACCGATAGCCTGAGAGGTAGTGTCACGAACGAGTGGTTGGACGTTCATTATGGAAAAAAAACTATATAACACCCTAAAACGGGCGAGGAATCAAGTCTTTAGGATTCTACAATACTAATGTCAGGATATTTGAAATATGCAGGTAGTTGTTATTGATTTTGTGCTGTATTTGATTTGAAGGCCTGATTGAGTATTGTATATCGGAATTACACGATGAGAACGGAAGGAGATGAGAACGACAGAAGTCGCTAACAGATGAATCGGAATAGCCTCAAATGACTCACACTTACTTCTCCTGTCCCGTTGAAAATCCAGCCAATCTGATCGTCGACAGGCGAAAAACTTCGGATGCCGAATTGACTCCTTGAGTGCGACAAGCGATGTTGACGGTCTTCAACAAAGCAGCCGTCAGCTATCGTACTCATGTTGTATAGTGGGAGAGGCATAAGTGGCGAATTGTTGTGAGGTACGTGTGTTGGGGGGGATGATTGAAAAACATGAACCATTAACGGGGAGGGGATAAGCGCCTGGGTCCGAAGTACGGTGTCTAGGCCTTGTTCATCCTTTACGGTGTCATTCTGGATGGTACTGGTCTGTGTAAAACCCTACAGGCTCCCCTTCTGCATTCCATGACCATATTGAAAAAACAAAGGAAGGCGAGTCTCTCGAATTTGCTTGGAGCTCGCATCTCAGAGTTAAGTGGGGCTTGCTGCTATTCTGTAAAAAGTTATCTGTTGTTATGTCTCGTTGCTCTTAGTGTGTAGCCAAGCCACGACCATACGTCCATCCCTCCCTGCTGGTCCTCGAAACAACCTCATGGCAACCGACTCTGCATCGATGCCAAGGTACTGAATACTTTACCTCTCGCCAAGATAGTGGTGTTCGAATGTTGCTTGGCTCTCGTAAGCCGTGTATCCTCCAAAGATTCAGTCTCGAGTATTTGCCATATATGTACAGACGGATGAGACGAGTTCTGACTTCTTTTTACATCTAATTCTACTCTACACGACTCAAAGCTAACGTTGTTCAGAGTCATTCAGAGCCATCTACTGTTGTGTCCTTGCAACACCAGTGGCTGGAGGGAAGCAATCAGGAAGTGATTTCGTATACTTGCCCAGCGAATGTTTCAAGAAAACAAGGAATATGCCAGCCATCATAGTGAAATAAATGGTAGCACATTCACAATGTTTTCTGGAAGTCATTCTGAATTCAACAACATGTCTACCACTGAGGCTGAGATACTACAGTGTACCAAGTACTTAATGTACCAACTGAAAATATGATCAAACGGGAGAGCAAGTGAAAGAGCTCGCGATGTCGTTGGAGTCCTGAGTCGAAGCAATCCCCGGAACAGCAGTCATATTCCATGTTCCACTAGTAAGAACAACAACGTTGTGTGCGTTCTTGCTCCCGAGACAGCCATATTCCCTGTGATTTACATTGACTTTTCAGTATCCAACAATACATGTGGTAGGAATTATTCACTCATAGAAAGAGCACACGAATCCATCAGGGACTTGAACATTGGAAACTTCTTCGTTCAAGAAGCTGAGACCTCCGGTGAAATCCGTGCAGTCATCGGACACAACAGGGATGGTGACACAACCATTAGGCGGGTTAATGGTGCCGGCACAGACAGTAATCGTCGCTGGAGCAAGCTGATGGAGATTCAATCAATTCAAACAACAACTAAAAGCCTACACATACTGTAGCTGCAAGAGCAGCCTGAGCACTGGAAAAGGCAACAAAGAAAGCTTTAGCAGAGAACGTATCGGATAATGAAAACAACTGTGGTAACAAGTTCAAGTTACAGACAACTGCTGAAGAAAACGAAATCACATTCGAGCTGGCTTTATAGCAGTTCTATATACACTTCTTGAAATACATTTACAATTCTTCGAGCATCCAGACATTATCTTGGGGAAGGTTTACCTCAGAAACGGTTCTCTACCTCGTGATGGTTGGACTATTCCATACCAAAGGCAAACCTCAAGTCTATGAGCAATCCATCCATCTGCCATAGAAGTAAGTCTTCCGAAATCATCAAGGTTTTATTTGGCGCTAACTTACTGCAGTCTAAGTCTACAGGATTCTTGCACCTCAACGGCGACAAAATGCGACCGACAGAGAAGTACTACGAGGTTAATGTACATCGATAAATATGTGGACATTCCTCATGGAAAGGCAATAACATCTTGGACTTGATAAGGATAATTGCAGACAGTCATTATCACAGTTGTGTTGCACGCCGCATCATACAGCTCCACGATGAGAACGGATGAAGATTAGTATAGTTCGAAAGAACAGGATGACTCATTACTCACTTCTACCCGGACAAACTAATTGACATGCGTCTTTGAGCTCAAGCTACAGGACGGACTAGGTTCATTGGCCAATTATGATATGTTTATTGAGGAGATGATTGAGGCCTTGGGTCTTGGGTGGTATTTTGAATCGGTTCTAACTAGTTGAACTAAAGTTGAACAGTGTAACTAAACTTCTTGAAGTTAGTATTTTGAGTCAGCACTTGTCATCTTCCACCGTCCTCGCCGTGTTCATCACATACCTTCGGGTACCCACAGCGTACTTACTGCGACTCAAAGGCTATCTGCCCTTCAATTGTTTTCCTTGTTTCTTCTCTGATAACTAGGCCCTCTGTTCACATCGTATGGTCTTGATATTTGGTGAGCCAGTGAGAATTGTGGTGGCTGGAGATGAATGAGAATGAGTGAAATAAAGCTGTTGGCTAATCTCGACGAGAACTGTTCTCATTTGGAGTATCACCTGCGTGTTTGTTTCTGGTACATTCACACTCGTAACCTCTTTGCGCTTGTTAACTTAAATGAGTTATTGCTATCAAACTGAGTCCCTCTTCTGCCTGATTCTCCCTCTCTCTCTTTCTTTCTTCCATTACTTAGTGGGGATTGGTAAAGGCAAAGACATACATTTCTGTTTGCTACTTGTTGACTTTATGAGAAAAAAGACTGTTTGAGAAGAACCATTTTACCAATTGGACACAATGGGAAGAGAACCCAGCACCCCCCGCACGAACACCTTCGGCAGCTTCCTTTCCTTTGATGCTAAGCGGATGTGATAACGAACTACACCATGTGCCCTCTCATTTGAATTAGATATTAGTGGACGTCAACTTGTTCCTTTGTTCCTTGCTCCTAGCATCAGTATTCCGTACTCGAAACTACCCCTCAACAAGATCCCCACACATAACCTTTCACTCAGAACATCAGAACACCCACAACTCATTGACCAGATCCCCAGCTACTCCAACCCCTCCTACACCAACATTCATGAATCCCATTTCGTCTTTACTCGGATCGCTACCAGCCTCATCTCCGTCCGCACCAGAGTCACGGCTAGCAGATGAAAACAACTCGACCTTCTGCTTCTTCCCAAGCATCAATTCCATATCCATATTCAATGCTGGCTCTTTTTTAATCTTTCGATTCGCTTCGGCGTCGAACAACTAAAATATAGGCAACGAGAAAAGATAGGGAGGTCAGCATAACGAGGAACACGCAGAAAAAATAGATTGACAGTGCTAGAACAAAAAAAGCAAAAGAAAAAACTCACACTCCCATACCCATGATCCAAGAAGTCCTCCATTTTATACTCATCCTTCGTAAATACACCCTCGAAGACCTTGGCCATACTGGATACTGGAGCATGGTAGTGCGAGACGTGGGCGTGTAGCTCGAAGAGCGAGGAGGAAAGCGCGTTGGTCAAAAGGGGGTTAGGGTGCGTGGGGAGGAAGGGGTCTGTGTATAGAGCGGTCAGCGGAAACGAAAAGAGGAAGGCGAAATAAGAAGAGATAAACTCACCTTCATACAGCCCACCTTCCTCCGACAATTCCCGATGTATCATTACCATCAATCCCGGATGTCTTCTCATCAAATTCCACACGAATGGTATCACGATAACTATGGCTGAAGGTGGGGCGGAGAGAGAAAGGAGGGAGAGACGTTTGATGAATGAAGCTAGGAGGGTTAGGGGGAGGTGACTTTATGGGAGATGGGATAATCAAAATATTAATGGGTGAGTGTACTTCAACAGCAACAAGACTACAGGGATGTACAATACACACCTCGATCCCAAAAAAACTTCTGCCAATCTGAAAAACCTCGCGCGGTGTTTGAGGTGGAGGAGATCCCGGTCGAGGAAGGCGTATAGACGGGTATAGAAGGACGGATAGTCTCTGTTTGTGAGCAGAAGAGGAAGTAGAACACTTAGTGATATAAGAGAGGCGGAGAAGGATAGGAAACTCACAGGTTGTACTCTTTCATGAGAACATACAACGCGTTGAGGGCTAGGAGACCTGGTGTTCCGCCTACGATAGATTGAGAAAGGAAAAAAAAATATCGTCAGTTAAGTAGGTAGGACAAGTGAAGCTAAAACTAGAGACTAGAGGCCCTAAACCGACCCAGACTGCGGAATGAATGAAGAAAACGGAACGGATAAACGAAGAACGAGCAAAGAGATGGAGGAATGTGAAGAATAAATGAATCGAGCACATCGAAGACTCGAAACGAACGAGAAAAAAGACTTCACCATAATCAACACACGCTCCCACCCAATCCATAACCAACACTGGCCTAGTCAAATACGGGAGTACCCCTCGGTGCATAACGTTCAATGCTCTCACTGCCAGGTCTTTCCCACTTCCAGCGTTATTTGTGCTGATATCGCCAGGTACATTCAACTTGGGAAGTAACCCCAACCACGCATGAGTGAACACAGCTCGATGGGACGATAGGTTGTGTAGAGATTGGTGCAGTGTGAGCTGGTGCTGACGGCCCTTTATTCCTGCGTTTCTGGAGGACTTTGGGCTCTTCTTGTCTTGCTCGTCAAAAAACTTGCGCCAATCGTCGTCTTCTTCTGAAATGGCGTCTTTATCAGAATCTTCCTCATCATCATCGGTATCTTCACCGTCTACTATACCCTCCAAATTCGATTTGGATTTACTGATTTTGTTCTTCTTAACCTTCATCGGCTTCTGCCCCATCTCTTCGACCCACCATTTGCCTTCTTTTGTTAAGCGTTCTGGGAAAGTAGGAAACCAGGACGAAGTGGAAGCGAGTTTTTCAAGGATGGACAATGCATTTGTGGGTGCGTTTGGATGAGCTTGAATCGTTTTCTGATCGAGCTTTGAGAGGAGTGCGCTGTTTATAATCATTTGTTAGTTGAATATTGATAGAAATATCCACGTCAAAACTCACCCAACTTCACGCAAAAAGAACCACCGTACATCATCGTACACGCTGAGCCATGTCGAATGGAACAGCTCGACGACGTCTGTGTCGACGAGCGAGTCTTTTTCTTCCTCTCCGTCTCCTTCAACTCCTTTCAGCTTCCCATTACTCCTCACAATTCGATGCGAAACTGGACATAACACCAATGCATTCACGATTTTCTTGAAATGCGAAATGTGAAATTGTGGATTTCCAGAAACGGAGACGGAAACGGAGGTAGAAAGATGTTTCTGCAATGAGAATAGTATCTGTAGGGCGGATGTCTATAGTAGAGCGTAAGTATTCAGTCAGCCAGGTCAATAGTTCGATGAACAAGTTTAAATGGTACAAACCCTCAAAACCTTTTCCTCATCCTTCAGCAACCCACATAACAATTCTACATATTCGTTTAGACGATCCCAGAGCCACGCTTTGACGACTTTTGCGTCTTTCTCTCCAGTACTACCTGCTGAAGTCGTCGAATTCATTGTAGACAACCTCCCACTCCCAGCGATCCCAACCCAAACCCTATATAACGCCCATATCGCCTTCGATGTATCCTGCGCGCTGATTTTCGGGTTCGACGCGATAGAAAAGAGGTCTGCGAGGGGGTTCAAAGACGTTGTCTCTGAGTTGGCAGTAGCTATCACAGCAGCAGCAAGTTGGCTTTCTAAAGCAACAATAGTTTTTGATTGAGATGATTGAGATTTTTGAGATGAAGCGGAGGATTGAATGGAAGAAATAGTTAATAGTTTCCGCTTTTTTGACGGACGTTCCGTAGAAGAAGGTGATGGTAGAGAACGAATGGGCATAATAATAATGTTCTCTAATCGTTCGACTTCTTTCCTGAAGATAATTTTGTGAAACGAGGAATTTTATCAGGAATGAAATGCAAATTGGCATAAGTTATAGAAATAAACCTATTCTGTCAAACTTTCTGACATAATCACGCTATGTATCTATATCTACTCGGTCCGTCAAGGGCACATGGTGTAGTTGGTTATCACATCCGCTTAGCATTTAGCTATTGTTTGCGGGGGGTGCTGGGTTCAATTCCCAGTGTGTCCAATAAATGATTAACTTTTTGCCTGTCTCTTTCCTGAATCTCCCGTAGTCAACATCCATATCATATCCCCAAGACCCGTCGATGATTTTGACTCTTACAGGACCTTTATCTCATACATTGAGCCAATTGCTCACAGGGTGTAGCCATGACTTCTTAATCTTCATTTCCAACTCCAGCTTTCGTTCGAGCAAACTGAGCAATATTTGTGCATGACCAAAACGCACTGGTAATGCATATCTTAACATACATATTGTAGTAAGTACACACCTACACATGAATCCAATCGCTGAAGGCCTCAAGAATCATCCGTATACTATTCATACATTGATACAAGCAAGACCACGCAGGGAACCGAGGAATCAGCAACGACATTCAAATCAACCAGTCGATTGAATTCAACTCACCACAACCGCCAAAGAATTTGGCCACGGCGAAACATACTTGTTGTCATCCAAATAAGCATAATTAAGCTCATGCCGCTCGTGATCTTTGAATCTGTTGAGAACACCAGAGTTGCCGGGTGCACGTTGGATATCTTTGATAGCGAATATGCCGCGCAGGACATGTGTCATTATCTGTGTAAGGCGTTGAGATCCAAAGAGCAGGAGAGAGCAAAGAAAGGAAGGAGAAAATGACATGAAGACGGCGACGGTGCTTACTTTAACAGTGACATCGTCACCGAGGCATCTGAGAGGAGATCACTTAGCAAAACAATCACACTAGGGATTTCAAGGAAAGCCCGACTCACCGAGATATCCCATCGCTAACGATGTACTTCTTCCCACTCTGATCCCTTCGCGCGTTCACCGTGTCAGGTTGAGGGAACACTTGATCCTGAATCGAGAACAGGCGAAAAGTGGAGAAAAATAAAGTCAGCGGAAGGGTTATGCTCAAATGCAACAACACAACACTGACATTTTGACCAGCAGCATACAGATCCAAGAATACCCTGCCATCCTTTTGTATGTTCAATCCATCAACGTTATGGTCGGATGATGCGATACGGTATACGCCTTTGAACGAAGGATCCAGCCCTACACATAACCCATCAACTGAAAAACCGAGCGAAGGAGAATGAGTTGAGACTCACTCAATGCCTCCCTTGCGTACCCGGCCAATTCACCCTCCTTATCCCCCGCCAATGCCAACTGCCTGATAGCTTCCTCATGCTGCGAATCCAAGTACAGATTCACCATATTCGTACAAGCCACCGAAAGCTCAACACTTCCAACCATGATGGCTAAAAGCACATTTCCTTGCTCGCGCGAGGATGTATATCCGATTTCGTGGAGATGTTGTACGATGATGTGTTCCGTGGGCTTTTTGGATTTGGAGAAGAGGGAGAAGAGGAGGAAGATCTATAAGTAGAGAATATATGTGTTTTGTGCAAGTTAGAAACAGCGTTGAGTCTGAATAAGGGAGAATAAATATCACTTTGCTACTGATCGATCCCCCAAGACCGTTCTCGATTTTTTCTAAGAGAACTTTGGCATGTGATTGGGCCTTTTCCTTGAGGACCATCAACTTCGAGAGTTCGGGGTCCAGGAAGATATATCTAAACAAGCCATCCCTGTCAGCGATTAGGGTCTACCTCGATTAGAAAAAGAAACACGCACGAATAGATATCCCCAAGCATATTATACAGCTCAACCGCCGTGAAATCACCATCGTCTGAAGGCGACGTTTTGATTTTGATCCCGCTCTACGCAAAACAGTTGTTAGTAGGTGACCAGCCGTTTAAACGCTTATACCAGATTAAGACTCACGAGATCAGCAATCCAATGCATAGGAGCAGTTCTGAGAACATCCCGAACGAGGTTAACCGACCGCGTTTTGGATCCAGAAAGGTTGAACGAATTGCTCTTGATAAGCTCTTGTGTTTTCTCGAAGAAGAATTTCGTCAACTCTGCCGAAGACTCAGGAGTTCCAGCCAAAGCACCAAGGACGCGCTGTTGTTCTGAGCGGTCTTCTGGTACACTGAAGAACCTACAAGACAGAAGACGCGATTTAGAAAATAGAACAAGCCAAGTAACTCGGCCAGTGCGGGAGAAAACGCGTAGGACGTACCCTTTTCCGGAAACAACGTCCTTCGCCCTCTTCTCATAATGTGCGATAAACTTCGGATCCTTGATGATATTCCCCACTAGCGTATAATCCCTTGCAACCAGCCCCGGATTCCTTGTCCTCGGCCTACTCATGTCATATTGCTCTGACAACTTCAAATCCTCCAAATACACTTTCATCGACTGGGGTGTCATCAGCGGGAAGAAAGCGTAAGTACTGTTCTCAGTAAACTGCTCAGGAAGGGTACGGAGGAATAGTCGGCCAAGGGCACTTCCGAAACCATATCCTTCGGGCTGACGTTGACAATCTGCGAAACCCCAGGCGGTGAGGTTGAAGGGGGTGAAGTCGTGCGTGAAGTAGCGGTCACCTCGGGTGAGGGCGATAGCGTCACTGAGGATAGCACGACTGATAGTATATCCTAAAAAAAACAGAGTAAGTCGAGTCATCGAATGTTCGAGTGATTCCAACGATGCAGGGCCTACCGGGACATAACCCAGCCCCTTCCACAACAGGTTTAGCTTCCTCTGCTTGCAAGCCAACGTACAGCTCGAGGTACTCGATGTTTCCGTATAGCTTCTCCGCGGCATAAGCGATCTCCGGGTCCGAGTTCCATTCCAAGAAAGTGCTAAACGCTGTTTTTACGTGTTCTATCAGAATTAGAGGTAACATAGAGTATGTTGGACTCACGTTTTAAACCTAGGTACCTCCTGAAGTCATTCAATGAGCACACTCCCCATGAGCGATTTTGAGTGATACCCATAATTTCATGGAGACGCATGCATTCTGTGAGCACAACAGTTGGAATGAGCAAAATGGGAAAGTAGAATAATACCCTACCGGGGGTGCCCCGAGCGCGGAAAGCTCCTGCAGGATGTTCGGTTCTGCATTCAGAAGATCATCAGTCAAAGAACTATGACCATGAAGGTGACACGGATACTAACGCATTCTTGAGAAGATTAGCCAAATCTTCGTCCTTGAACGTGCCGTCTTCTTTCCTATTCAAGCTGTGGAGGGTATGGATCAGTAGTGAGTTAAAACAAAAATTGTATGACACCTACTCTCCGATAGTCCAATGACTAAGATCGGGTAATTGATCCATAGCTTTCTTAGCACCCATGACAAAATCCATCGCGGTCAAGTTCTCGATTTTCTTGCCGGGGAAAATTTGCTGCATTTTTTGCACAGTCCACAACTCATCTTCCTTACTCGTAGTAGCATGCCAGCGGTAAAGACAATTGAACTGATCGTGGTTGTTCCTCGGTAACTGATGTGAAAGGAGATAAGAAATAATGGCACACCTCCACACTACAACTATTTCCTCGTCCTCTCTCAAATTCAGAATGATCGAGATTCCTCATTTCCTGGAGAGGACCAGATGTACACGGTCAATCATTCAATCTAAAACCAAAACCAAATAGAAGACTTACTCCGAAAGGATTCAAACTCCAACTACTGCCCTGCCTCACCAGGCCCAGGATACACGAAACATAATCAGAGAAGATGACTGTTGATTGAACATATTTTGACAAACATCATCAAAAACGTTGACGTCAAAAACAAGACAGACAGAGAATGCGGCTTCGGACTACGCACCTGTGCCGAACCAACCACAGTTGACTAAACGTGCAGTTTGAAACAACTCCTCATCCTGAGCAGCAAGTGCTGCTTCAGAGAGCTTGGAAGGATCTTGATACTTTTTCCTTTCGTTGATATCAAAGATCTTCTTCGCGATATACTAGATGTGCCAATCGATTGATCATCAGTGATAAACTTAAAAAAACCAGAGTCTCCGTGACACTCACGTTGTGATTCCGGTTGAACAACACTAGAAGTACACAAACTGCAGGAGGAAGCAGGAGCAGCCTATCCTCTGCAAAAACATCAGGATGCAAAAGCCCTAAACCTTCTTTTCTTCGAACTCGATTTTGAGTCTCTTGGTTATGTCCATAAAGCGGAGCCAAGTCGCAGTAAGAAGATGTTTCATTGATATTTACGTCGTTGTGTGATGTGCGAAACACGCTGTCGTCAAGGTGGTTTAATAAGTAAGAGCAAACGCCTGAGCCGAATTGGTCATAAACGTACCTGTGAATGACCAAAGCGGCGAAGGAGAACATTAGGGAGGAGAGCCCAGAGGGGTGGCTCTGGAACTACAGACAAAGAACATCTTGAATATTACAAGAACGGCAAGGATAACAGAGTCACGTACACCCTCACGCTTCAAAAGCCTACAAATCCATACTGAAAGGTGAACAAAACAGTCCGGTGGAGTTGACCATAATCAACTCACGTATCAAAGATTAATCCTGGGTCGGGAAGCTCGCTTGGGGATAACGGATGGCTCTGCTGCACCGAACGTGCGTAAGTCGACCCAGCTTTGCCCAGGTCTGGGTCTCCAATGTTGTTCCCGGACCCGTCCGCGGAACGCCACGCGTACTTGTTCCCGATTAAGGTCGCTGGTGGATGGGAGAGATCGTTGTACACTACATCAGCAGGTTAGTGAGTTCGCAGTTGTCCATGTAAGGAAAGAGAAAGAGGTTGAAAGGAAGAGATACAAAGTAAGGAAGAAAGAAGAAAGGAAGTTAGGGGTGAGGGGTGAGAAATTCGCTCATTCCTAAGACTCTAACGCACAAAGTTTGATAACATCGTCCTGCAACTTCTGTGCCACCTCGCCGGGGGGAAATTTTGAAAGCAAGGACAGTCCATGTTCGAGCTAGTACATATGAACTCAATCTCAATCCTGAAAGTATTTTGTACACGCACCAAGAGTTTCCTATCATCAATTGCCTCTTTATGTCTAATGCCATCCACTATCGCAGGCTGCAGTGCGCTCGAAAGGTAAGCACTCTAGCTTAGATGTACACTATCACGGTAACGCACTAGTCCAGACTGTTCGAAAGTCACATGCGGGTTGGCTTTTTTGAATGGAAGGGCGGTTGAG